CCCGAGATCCGGATGATTCCGGATCTCCTTACTTTCCGCCGCGCCCTCAAGACATGGCTTTTCCAGCAAGCGGGCCTGACCTAAGGAGGATTTTATTTAGGGACGATTTTAAGTATAATTTTAATTGGAACACAGCCTCTAATATTTGGTTTTTAATTTGGTTTTAGAAGGGTTTTATTTTTGTATATTGTTATTGTATTTGTTTTTAATATGCTGTGCACCGCCCTGAGTCCTGCGGGAGAAGGGCGGTATAGAAATTAAAATAATAATAATAATAATAATAATAATAATAATAATACTTTTCCTTCTATGTAGATTCACAGCTTTCAGCACTGATGGGTTGCATTTTTTTTTTTAATGATCACCCCTTGGAATCAGACTTTAGAGCACACAGATTGGAGGTAATCTTTTACTAACCTTTCCATCTGCACATTTTGTTCCAGTATCAACCATCCCAATACTTTCGTCTCTGGATATATAGTAGGGAACACAAGGAATCTGGTTTCCAAGTGAATTATATGAGCAGTATAACCTGCCACATTTTACATCTCTGCAAAAGAAACAGTCAATTCATACTAATTAATAAGAATGAGGTTTGTTCCTTTGCTTATTTGCAAATGTTTGTTTGTTTGTTTGTTCATTTATTTCCCATTTCCTGCATCTTACTAATAGAATGACTTTTGGGTGACTTACGATATAATAAAAAGTTAGAAAGTGCCACAAACAATTACAATTAGAATAAAAGGTAAAATTAAGAAACATGATGGGCAGCCTGGGGATGAGGGTCTTCACTATTCCATCAGCCATCCCTAATGTAGCAGGCCCATGTTGGGGCCCCCCGCCAAGCAGCAGAGCCATGTTTGAAGTTGTTCCTGGGGGCCTGAATTCTGGGGGCAGACCTCACCTCTGACAGGAGAACATAGCGGGGGGGGGGCATAGCTGAATAGGCTTTTCTCCTGCACCTCTCCAGTCAAAAAGTCTTTGGCTGGCAGGATATGAAGTAGACCTTTTCCACCAAAAGGACTGGACCAGGTTAATCCCAACAGTTCCACCAGTTTCCTTGCCCTTTAAAGATAATGACCAACTCCTTGAATTGACCCGGAAACAAACTGGCAACTTGTGCATCATATAACAGCGGTGTCACGTGTGAGAGGCCTCCAGAACTATCAGCACCACTGTGTTCCGTACCAGTTGCACTTTCCAAATACTCTTCAAGGGTAGCCCTATGCAGTAATCCAACTGGGAGATGACCAGAGAACGTGACTCTGCTGACTATCAGTTGATCTTGGGTTATTCTTTATGCATTTTGTTTTTTTAATTAGAGATGGAGAACCAGAGGTTTGTTCACCCTCAGTATGAACCGGGTTGCCTTTTTTAACACGTAACTGAAAAATCCCACAAGATGTTTCAAGGTTTGAAACAAAATAGAGAAACACAGTTCTCCAGTTCTCCAATTAGCTCACTGTGATTTCCTTCTTTTGGGGGTGAAGATAGTTTGAGTCAGGATTCTCATCTTAAGACCAAGGAATGCATCTATTATCCAGCTGGAAAATGCCTAAAGTAGAATTAGGAGATTTAGTTTTTTCCAGATTCTAGCCTAAAATTCCCCTAATGTCTGATCAGTGGATGACAGGGAGTTGAAATGTAAAGGTTAGGGTAGCTGCACTAAACGTTGGAGAGGGACCCCCCCCCCAAATGGCTATTATTACATTTCACTTTTTAAAAAAAAAATAGAAAGAAAAAAGAATTTAAGATTTAACTAAGGATGTATAAAATAAGAACTTTCCTTCCTTTAACAGGAATCAATGCCACAAGAGTCTGTGTGTTTGCGTAAGAGCTAAAGGCAGAGTCCGGATTTACACACACTGCTAAAAGATAATGTGGCTTACTGTTTAGTTTGGGTTTAACGTGTGGTGCCAATTTAGCCATTGTGGTTTCTAAATCATGATTTATGACCAAATGCAATTAGTAAACTCAACCAACAAGGGTTTATTCAGTAATATGCAGGTTAAATAAGCTGGGTTAGCCCAATGAGAAAGGCTGATAATAGTGTAGTCCTTGACTTACAACCACAACTATGTCCAGAATTTCCCTTGCCAATTTTACAACCTTTTTGCCATGGCTGTTAGGTGAACCACTACAATTGTTAAGTGAATCACATGGTTGTTAAGCAAATCCAACCTCCCCCATTGACTTTGCTTGTTGGAAGCTGGCTGGGAAGATGGAAAATGGTGATCATGTGACCTTGGGACACTGCAGCCCTCATAAATACAGGAACCCGAATTTTGATCACATGACTATAGGATACTGTGACAGTTGGAAGTGGAAGAATCAGTTGTAAGTCACTTCTTTGAAGTCGCTAAATGAATGGTTAAAAGTCAAGAACTATCTGTCCTTTCTCATACAACCTTTTAAAAGGCACTTATATCCTCACAGCAGTCTTTTTACACCCCACTTTTGCTCCATCTTGTAACCCCAGATGGAAAATGAAGAAAAAATAGCCATTTGGAAATTGGTTCATATTTCTATTGGTTTAGCTGGGCGACAGAGTCATATTCCCACAGATGTGGACCATAAAATATTTCTTATCATCCTTATCTTAGATCATAATCATAGCAGGAAATAATTTAGATTGCTTACTGTGGTGCACATGGAATCTTTCTACCGTTTTCCTTTCTGCAATAGCCATAATCATTGCCAAAACGGTTATCCTCAAAACATGAATCTTGAGCCTCAGTTGCATCTGTAAGAGGGAGTGAGGAACCAAGACAAATACCTGAATGTGTAACATGCCAGCAGGATAAAGAATGGCTTAAGAGATTTCAGAGGAGTTCCAAATAATTTAGTTAATATTGACTTACTTATTTATTTATCTAATCCTCATTAAGAAGCTTTCACTATCACGTACAGTGTTACACTAAACTTGCTTATTCCATTTTATGGACACAAAGCTGAAGCCATTACAATGCAACTTGCAGAAGACCATGCGGTAAATCAATGGCTGTAGGGGAATCTGAATCCAGATTTCTTCCTCTGTGTCCGCATTTTTCCACTTCAGCTCTATCATGGATACATTCCTGTGCTGAATGCAGTGAAGAAATGGATTCCCAGAAGGGAGGGGGTGAAATCCAGAGGGGTAAGAGGCAACTCTGCCTGGATGTCATGTGTGAGAGAAAGAGGGTGAAGACATCTCCTCCCTAATAGTTTAAAGAGTGTATTGTATATGCAGATAGTAGAGTCCTTAGTCTGGCAAGATTTTGACTATAGGAATGAAACAAGAAAGAATTCAGCTTGGAATAACCATCATGTGTCATTCTTGGTTTGAGACCTGTCAATTCGTGAGCACAAGCCTCTTTGAATACAGTTGGATTACTTGCAAAGGATTGAGCTATTACTATTCTTTGGAATGTTACCTCATTTCATGCTATTTACCTGATCAAAATAATGATTTCTTTGTTTGAACTGAGAGTTTTCATTTTCAAAGCAATGGAAATAATACAGCAAGTGTCCATTTATTATCTAAATCACATCCTCCATAAATCCAATTGATCGATTAATGTTCTGATTTGTAATTCAGATTCTCAATCATCATCACATGCCACCTGACCCTTCATAAACAATTTAGACAAGAGGATGGAAGGGAAACTCATCAAATTTGCAGAGAACACCATAATGGCAGGAATAGCAATCACTCCAGAAGATAGGCTTAAGATCCAGAAGGATCTTTTGAACATTGAGTCCAATCTAAGAAAATTAAATTCAGTAGCGAAAAAGTAAAAAAGAAAAATCTACATTTAGGAAAGAACAACCAAATACAAAGGTGCAGAAGAGGTGATAACTGGCTCAATAGTACTAACTGTGAGAGGGATCTTGGAATCCTAGTGAACAATCACTTAAATATAAGCCAGCAGTGTGTTGCAACTGCAAAAAAAGCCAACACAGTGCTAGGCTACACTTTTGCAATAGTGGTGGAATCGTTTTACACTATAATTAGGCTGCACTAACAGAGAGATAAAATCAAAATCACATGAAGTGTTAGTACCACTTTATAATGCTTTGGAATATTGGGTCCAGTTTTGTTTGCCATGATATGAAAATGAACGCAGAGAAGAGCAGCAAATATGATTAGGGGACTGGAGGCTAACAAATATGAAGAACAGTTGCACAAATTGGGTACATCTAGTTTAATGAAAAGAAAGACTTTGGGTGACATGATATCAGTGTTCCAATATCTAAGGGGCTACCACAAAGAAGAGGACATCAACTGATTCTCCAAAGCACCTGAAGGGAGAACACAACCAGTGAATGGAAACTAATCAAGGAGAGAACCAACCTAGATTTTAAGGAGAAATTTCCTGACAGAACAATTAATCAATGGAATGGCTTGCCTTCAGAAGTTGGGGTGCTCCAACAATGGAGGTTTTTAAGAAGAGATTGGAAATGGTATAGGGTCTACTGTTTGAACAGGAGGTTGGACTAAAAGACATCCAAGGCTCCTTACAACTCTGTTCTTCTATTATTCTATTAATTCTGACTCTTTTAATTAGTGACACAAAACCTGTGTTTAGGACTTTCTGTATGCAAAGCTTCATTGCATATATATGGCCAAGATAAATCTCCCTGTTTGCTGAAAACTATCTACCCTGATATGAAAAAGAGGAACTTATTTCAGTTTCCTTTTTCAATATAAAACCATGCTGAAAATTTTGTGATAGTCTGGCATTAAAATGATGAGTGATCAATGATACGAATCACATCCCCAACATCTGTTTCTTCAACTATTATGCCAAATGTAAGGAAAATTTCAATCACGGGTTTGAATACTCTTAGCACACAGTAAATGTTCAATTTACATTATCTCTCATTGAGATTGGCTCAGATCTTTCTCCAATTTGGGAACGTATGAACAACCCACAAAAGCATCCTTTCCCCAAAGTCCATCTCTGGGCTCTAAAGCCTATAAAGAATGGAGGCTTTAATCTTAAAAAATATTCCTTCTGGAAAAGACCATCAGAAGTTCTGGGTGTTCCAACACTGGAGGTTTTTTAAAGAAGAGATTGGAAATGGTATAAGGCTTCCTGCTTGAGCAGGGAGGTGGACTAGAAGACCTCCAAGGTTCTTTCAAACTCAGTTTTAGAACAGAAATGTAATGATGATTTATTATGGATACAAAGGAGAAAATATCTTTCATTAATGGCAATGACTGTCTTAATCTTTTATAACACCACAATTCTGAAATCCTAAGGTTGACTTACTTTGCCCCAAGAGAGCATAACATTGGTGATACATGATGGGGCAATTGCCATTGTAGCAGTAACCGAAGTTGTTTAGGCATGGTTGTCCATTCCTATGGAAGCGATCTGTGGGACATTCATCAGAATGGCCAGTGCAGCTTTCAGCAATGTCACACTCACTCCTTCTTGACCGGCATTCTGTTCCTGCTGTCCTAAACTGTGGGTGAGAATCAAAAATACTCCCAGCTATCACACTTCAGCAGCAGAGATCAAAGAGGCAAACCATGATTCACAACACATTTCAAAACCTCCTTTTCATCTGTCTGGAGCATCAGCAAGCAAGGCATCCCTGCCCTGTTACAACTGTGTGTGGTGCCTAGAAGTCCCAGTCTGTCTTATTTGCTGACCATAAAGTGAAAATCAATTGGGCTGCCATAAAAAAGCAACAAAAATTGCTGAACTTAATTCCTGAACTTCTCATGATATATTTTTATTTCTTTACATGGGAAGAAGCATTCATAGAATTTTCTGTCAAGTGCTGAATGAAAAACATGTGGCTCCCTTCTCCTGCTGTGAATCTAGGCTTGTGGTGGAAATATGGAAATAACAAAATGTTTTGGGCCACTCTGCTCAAAATGTTCATTACAGAGTCAACTAGGATCCCACAAAGAAAGAAGGAATGAGGAACTAGCACCTCTCTTTCATTGGTCCTGCAGCACCTCCAGAATCCGCCACCAAAACACCTGAATTTGTAGCTTTAGAGAGCAGGTAGAGAACTTAAGGGGGAAAAAAGCAACTTTACTTCCAGAAGTCTCCTGCACCTATTTCCATCCTAAAAGGCTCAGAGAGAAAAATGTCACAGCATTACCGGAGACCTCTTAGAAGCTTCCAGAAAGTCAGGAAGCTGAGTTAGGGTACCAATCTCAAACATAGCCTAATCTTGTTTAAACTGGGTTTTCATGTAATCTCAGTCAAAGAACAAATATATTATTTTCACAGACATGATTTAACATGCCGAAAGAGTGCATTTGAGATTGAGACAAAGCTGAAATTTTGTTAAACTATCCTCTCTATGGATATGTTTATAAGGGTCAAATTAACTGGAAGAAGCGATAGAAATAGGGTTGAAATATTTTGATCATAGTAATCAGCCAAGAGATGTTACATTTCTATATGGCTAGTATGGAGCAGGGTAAAATCTCTCCTGGTGTTAAAAATAAACAAGTCTTACTCTGCATTGCTCACAACACTCTCCAGATTCACACTCTACCCATGAGTGTAGTTTACACGTTGCAGCATCACAGCACGGATATCGACAAGTCTGAAAACCAAAACATATCAAATGATGTCAGAATTTTCTGCTTGGTCTTTTTTTATTGGTCTGTTTTGAAGAGGGAAACTGCCAAGAAAAAAAACATTTCTGCAATGTGTTCCCTCTTATGGGTTCATGTGAGCAAATGCACTAATTGTTTGTTATTGCAAAAGATAATGGCATCTCTATGTGGAAGAGCCTTACCTGATATTTCCTATGTGACAAGAATAAAACAAAAATATCCTCATCTCCTAATTGTGAAGCCCACATAACCTACAGCCCCAATCCTTTCTTATTCATGAGGGATTTCCTACTCATCATGCCAGCCTTTGAGGTAGTCCAGAGAAGAAGCACCAACCATGAGTATTAACACTACCCTGATTGTAAGGTTACCGTAGCAGAATCTTTCAATACTAAAAGTACATTTCTACCACCTCATCTTTACGGACCAAGAGAATGGGTGGGAGGTGTTCCTCTTGAGATGTTTGCCATGCCCCATTGCTTCTGCAGGCCAATCTACTTCTTATATGATCATTGAGTAGACGTTTCCTTCTTCTTTTGTCTCTCAAGGATATTCTCACAGACCATTACAAGTGTATTTAACAATATAAAAAGAACACTAAATTACTGGTCTTATAAAAAAATATTATTAGGATCAGAGCATAGATTAAAGATCATCAGATATGGGAGAAAGCAGCTCAAGAAAATAGTGGGACAGATAATGTGGCCATATCAACAAAATAGGAGTTTTCAGGAGGGAAGGATTTTCTTGGAGTGGTCAATCACCAATTTTTTAAAAAATACAGAGTCTTCCCCAAATGGTAGTGAGGTACCAGTTCTCCATTCCTCTACAACTGGTTAACCAAATCCAAGAAACCCCTTCATACATGCATGTATGTATAGGGCACAAACCCATGCCATTCACAAACCAACCTCTTGGATGGCTCAAACCGCTTAGAAATTTAGATGATTTTTCAAGGGTCCCATTTTTGAGAAAATTCTGCATATTCTTGTTGATTAACAAAAAAAAAAAAGACTTACTGCAGGAGAGCCACAGTCACATTCTTCTCCCACCTCCAAAAGTTCATTTCCACAAACTGGAGGTGAAACAATATCTGTTCTCAAGGGTTCATTGAGAATGCATTGTGGTTTACGATTATTAATATAATTCCAAAATTGGATATGACTACAATTGCTGAAATATTTGGAAGGTTGATAGCTGTAGAGATGAACCAAAATAAGACCATGACATCATCCATATTTGGACTAGGAAAAGAATTCATTGCAAAAACATATAAGATGGAAAAGGGATGACTAATGAAGAAATGCAGTGATTTCTTTTCTCTAAAGCTAACAAAATAGATAAGAGAATGTTTTGTACTCCTTGATCGTAATCCCAGATTATGCTCCTTCAGTTTTAATTCCACTAACTTTCCTTTCTTTTTTAATAAAATAGATTTGCAATGAGAACTCCATGTGATATTAGTTGATTGAGCTGCGTCTTGTGTTTGAGTGGGCTGCCTTTTATTTTCATTTTTAGTCAGGCTCTCTGTGGAAGGAAAATTGTATAATTGAAGGGAAAACAGTGGAATTTTGATCCAGTTTTTCTTTTCTTCGTTTGGAGGGATTGTACTTTTTATAATAATGAATAGAGAGCTAAGTATGCTAATTTTCTATTTGCCTTAAAGTATTTGTTGTTGATTTCTTTTGTTGAAAAGTGATAATATCAGCAACATGCCACTGACCTCTGAAGCTGAATACTTAAATAGATGCAAAGATGGCATCGTAAGCCCAGCAAAGCACCTTCCTAATGTTAATTCAAATCATTAGGAATATAATAATTGGCCCTCAAGTTAGGGGGTGGAAACAAGAACGCAAAGAGAATCTGCTGGTGGCCATTAAATAGACAAGATAGTCTTCTTCCAAGGTCAAAGTTGCACCAGACTCCTTTGGTGGGGTTAATTCAGCAAAATTGTTTCCTAAGCAAAGTCTTCCATACAAAACACCATGAAGTGTCTAGAAGTATTAAAGAGTAATCATGATGCCCGGAAATCCTTCAAAAATGACAGGAAAGACTACATGGCATTCTCCATACTTCCTAGCCTCCTTGCTCTTGCATGAAATAGGAGGCAATGAAGTTCTTGGGCTTTAGCCGAAGAAACCAGAAATTGATCAATAGGTGGGATGCTCACTGAGCCTACACAAAACGCTTACACAAAAATTGTGGGGAGTTTTGCAACAGACAATTGCTGAGAAGATTTTGTTTCCTTTTTCCTTTTCTTTTTCCTTCTTGATGAAGTAAGGCCTAAATTTGCACCCAGACGAAAATCTTAGTAGTCCTTGACTTGCTTTCACAACTGAGACCAGAATTTCCATTGCCCAGCAAGCCAGTGAGTCGTGCTCAAGTTTACAACCAGTTTTGCCACTCTGTTAAGTGAACCACACAGTCATTAAGGTACCCAGCTTGCTCCACTGGCTTTGCATATGGGAAGACAGCTGGAAAAGTCACAAATGAGGATCCCATGAATGCAGGATGCTGCAAGCGTCATCAATACACGCGGGTGTCGCCAACTGCCCCAATTTTGATTCTTTGATTGAAGGGAGGCTGCGATGGCTGTAATTGCGAGGACTGGTCGTAAGTCACTGTTCTCAGGGCCATTGTAACTTTGAACGGTTGCTAAACAAATCATTGTAAGTCAATGACCACCTGTACATTGCTACCTGCTGATTTCAGAAGACTGCAATATATGACAGAGATGTAACATATTCTACCTTGATGAAAGGGCGAGGCAGGAAAACCCCAAGGCTGCTAATTTATCTTTTTCTTCTTGCTGTTGCCTGGTTCAGAATAATTTACCCCCCATTATGCTTCCCACTTTAGCAAAGTCTTTAACATCTAACTTGGTTTCCTCTTTTATCCATCACAGATATTAATATTTGGTTTCTTTGGCTATGCTTCCTACGCTGTTTCTTTAAACTCTGGTGTTTTGGAGGAAGCTACTGAAGGATGGCTATTCATTTGTTGAGAACATTTCTGCCTTTTTAAATCCGATACATTTTAACTACACATGGTAAAGAGACACACAAATGATCAAAAAACCCTTTTTTGTAACTCCCTTGCCATTTAATTTTTGTAAGTTCTCAGTATATTTAATTTAACAATTAATTGCAACCATTTAAAAATAACTTGATTGGAAAGGCATTAAAAGTTTTCCTCAATCCTTACCTTAGCTGGTCAGCCATAATACATGAGAAACCACCACAAGTACAGGAATTTCCATCATGATGAATGCCCAGATTATGACCCATCTCATGGGCCATTATAACTGCAACCACAAGATTTATTGAGCTATAATCCTGAAGGAAAGAGAATACTTTGTTTATTGTTAGTCTGCCAGGAAACTGAAAGTGAATCCAATTATTATTAGCACTAAGGATACCATCTTAGGATTCCTCTAGCTCTTCTGAATGTATGTGTGCCCACCAAGACTCCAGAACATACACAAATACATCCAGAAGGAAACTTTAAAGCCCGGAAGCTACAGCACAGGAGAAGATCAAAACTTATGCATCCATTTGCTGTCTGCATTTATTCAGTTACTAAAACTTACAGGCAACTTCAGTCCAAAAAGTATTCAGTGTCTTTTGCTACAAGCTAGCATTTTCAGAATATTGAAGGTAGCCATCCTGTACAGACTTAAGAATGAGTTGCTCTTTCTGAATAAAATGACTTTCTTGAGCAAGCAGGCTTACGAATACCTGGTACTACCAGGATCCTAACTTTGCTTATTAAGAAACAAAACTTTATGAGTTTTGTTGTATAAGTTTTCTTTATTGCCATGTCTCTCCATTCTTTCTACGTGAACAAAAAGATAAGTTTACTGTTTCTCAATAAATGCATAGCATCATCATAATATGGTTTTTTTGCAGGATCTTAAAATACTGGAGTTTTTTCTTTTTAAGTAGATTTGGTATTTTTTCATTTTCTCAATGTACTAGAATTCAGTCAAATGCAATCTAGATACTAAATTTCTTGGAATGAAAGTAGGGTGATTCATGTTTGTCATTAGGATTGGTAAGAATATTGTTCAGAAGCATTATTTGGAAGTATTGTAACAGGATTTGACCTGCTCATTTGCCAATTAGAGCACGGTTTGACTCCTCCTGATGCAGAAACATTATAATATATTGTCATCTTTGACATATGGCTCATTGCATACAAAAAGCTTGTTCTACAAATATCTAGAATGCATTGTGCCAAAATGCCATCAGTTGAGGCAGGACCTGGAGATGTCAAATCCATAAATAAATATGGATGAAAATGACGTGGATCAAAAATAAGAAGAGACTTCATTTGTAAAGAAGTTATGCCTGTATGTAAGTTTTCATCTGAGTACAAATATATAACAGGTATCCTTTCTACTAACCTGAACAATTCCGGTAGAATACTTTGTGTAGCACATGGTGCCCACGTAAGCCAATCCTATAGTTGTTCCATTGAAGTCAATGGCCCTATAAGAAAGAAGGGGAGGGGGATAAAATTGATAGAAGATAGAAGCACGTTCTGTAGTCTTAGGGCAGACATAACTATGGCTTTCTGCAAACCCCTCGACCCGTCCTCAGTTACTACCAGTTTTCAGAATGTTAGAATTCATTTTAGGCTCTAGTCTCAGAAGCCGTTTAACTAAGCAGGTCTGTTAAAAATATTCAGGATGCATTTTCACTGTATGGTGAGTTTGGCTGGTGTTAGCATGGATTAGGTTGGGGAAAGGGTTAGCATGTTGTCTGAATCCAGCCCATTGGGTTAATTTAATTCCATTAACTATGCAAACCCCAAATATATATTTATTTAATAGATTTTGTCTATGAATTTAGCTGTGGGGTTATTGAAGACGAGATGGTTTTGCGAAAGGTGATTAGGTGGCAAGTCAAATCAACATCTGTGGGAAAAATAAAATGGATTTTTTTGTATTTTTTAATATTCTCCCTTGCACTTAGATCTGCCATCCATCTATCCCAGTGGTGGCGAACCTATGGCACGGGTGCCAGAGGCGGCACTCAGAGCCCTCTCTGTGGGCACGCATGCCGTTGCCCCAGTCCTAGGCCTTCAGCTGGGTTTTATAAAACCTTTTTGGTTTAGGCCTCTGCCGCCGTGTGCAAAAAAAAAAAAAAGTTCAATCAATCAGTCAATTTCAACTTCTTGTGGGGAAAAAAAAGATCTTGCAAAGTTGGAATTGATTGAACTTTTTAGTCCCACCCAGTCTGATGTTACCACCGCAGCCACGCCCACCCAATGGGCCACACCCACCCGGCACCCAACGATGCATAAGTGGGTTTTGGGTTGCAGTTTGGGCACTCGGTCTCCAAAAGGTTTGCCATCACTGATCTATCCCCTATTTCATAAGACCTACTGGTTATGCAAGTATCCTGTAAGATTGCTCAAAACACAAATGTTATTTGAGCAATATCTTCTAGATATAAGACAATAAACATGTCAGTTTCCCACTCATGAAATTGTATGGGAATATATAGGCTGATGGGGTGTGGAACTGAGTAGTTAAGACAGTGGGCTTGTTGACTGGAAGGTGGACAGTTTGAGACCCAAGTTCTGCCTGATGCAGTGCGCTCCTGTTACTTCCTCCATCTCCGGCCAGCCTAGCAGTTCAAAAGCACAGAAACACAAGTAGATAAATAGGTACCACTTTGGTGGGAAGGTAATAGCATTCCACGTGCTTTTGGCATTTGATCATGCTGGCCACATGACCATGGAAGCATCTTTGGACAATGTGGGCTCTTCAGCTGTGAATCAGAGTTGAGCACAAACCCCTAGAGTCGGATATGACTGGCATGGAAAGAGTCACACACACACACACACACACACATGTATATGTATATATTGCTCAGCACTATATATAGATTGGATATTTTATTATTTTACTTTATTCTTGGTTTATCTGTTGTATAATGCAAGTGTTCATTTAGTTGGTGCAGAATGGGAACCAAAACATTATTTAATTGAATTAAAAATGCATGTGTAAATAGAGCAAAATATAGCAGGATAATCATATAAGATTCAATTTTAAATCCAGGTGAAATGAAATCAAGCTGAGTTTTTCACCTGCACTCATTCAAGGACTTCTCAAAACCAGCTTTCTACAAAAAAAAGTGCTCTGTGCAAGCACTAACCTCCCCATTACCCTCCACTCCCAGCCACCCCCACTCCCTTTCCCCACAGTGAGACATACGTGAGTAACTGAGCATTATCATGTCTTTTGCGCTTCAGCAAATCTCTTTTTCTCCATTCTCCAAATGAGTCCAAAGTATCATCTGCTGATAATGTGACGTTACTCAAATCTCCGTTGGACCAAACTTCTAGGGCAACAAGTGCTACACGAATGTACAAATATCTGTAAATCTGTCAGGTGGACATGGCATCAATCAGAAACTGAAACACAAGTAAACTTTGAGAAACATTTCAAGATTAAAAAGCAACTAATATTGGCTTCTATAAGCAGATTTCTTTTCAGAGATCATTTTCATAATCAACTGAGCTTGGAATAGGCTGACTCTGCCGATCTCTTTCTAATCTCCCAGTTCAGAACCATTAACAACAGCTTGAAAGAATCCAGCTACAGATATAGTTCTGATTGAATTCTTAAAAAAACTTTTGGATTTGCATCCTCCCAACACAGTGGCTGTATTCCCATAAGAGGCTTATTAACCTAGTTACTGAATTAACCCATTTTCTGGATGGCCTCACATGTTGGATAACCAGCTGGCCAAATGACCTACTTTGGCCTCACTCAAAGCCACCAACGATAGCATTCTTGTAGAAATCCATCTTCTCTCTCTCTTTACCTGGCTAAGTGTGTTATGTTAACACAGTGAAAATCTGGGCTGGGCCTGAGAGAAGTTTAATATCAACAAGTGAAATAATATTCACCATGTCCTCTTACCTCATTTAAAGTGTTGACAATTTCATATCCCCATGTTTTTACTTCAGTTAAATTTCTGTTGAATTTCGTGAACTATAGAAAAGTTAAAAATGTTAAGATGAAATCATAATTATAAGAAAAAGGGAAAGAACATATCAGTGAAAGGATCATTGAATTTGTTTATGTAATAAGAATTTTTATCCAAGCAGTCCAAAGTATTCTTTTGTGCTGATTTTTTAATTTACATTTTTGCCATTAATATATTAAGGTTTTTAACTTTTCAGTAGCATACATGGGCTTTTTTCCTGGTTGGATAAAATTTTGGTCAGCCTACTGAAATACTTTCCTAAATTGGATGCTATATTTTCATGTTCAGAGATGTGTGAGATAAGCATTTTTCACTATACATCTTTTTCTTCATGTGTTGTCAATTTGGACAACCAAAGAGTGCAGGAATGTTTCAAAGAAACCTACAGAACTGTTTAACCAGTGTGGGATAAAAATAAATTTAGATGGTATCCAGGAAGAACAAATGTGCAAATTAGAGTATATTTACAAATGACTCTTAACTTTGTAAATATTGGTTGGGTGGGTCCAATAACAAAAAATATCAACGTTTATGATAAAGCACATTTTAAGAGACAGCCAGTTAGGATGTTTATTAATCTCTTCAAAAATGCCCACATTAAAAAAGGCAGAAACAAAATGCTGTGCTCAATGCAGAAAGAAAATGGAGAGATATCAAGTATACTTACCATTCTGTAGTCCGCAACTATGACAAGCTCAATGAATCTGAAGTGGTTCAAGTAACTTTGTTGCTAAACAGAACAATAGACATGTTGCTCCCAGCAGCCAACAGGAACGCTGGTCATCATCAGATAATCAGAAAACTGCTAGTTTTACTCTCTGGTCAAAATACTTGAACTTTCAGAAATATTGGTTCTTTCAAGAAGACATTTACAGCTTGTTAAAATTTTATCCCTGGGCCTTGAGCCTTTCGGAACCGGGCCATGGAAGTGGCAGGTGAGCGCCTGCATCTCCACTTGCATGACCAACGAGTGATCATGGGTGGGTGTGCTCCATTTGCATGAGTGGGGGTGTGCCCACTGCTCACACAAATAGATCTGGGTGCACGCATGACCCCACTGCTCACGTGGAACCATCCCCTCCCCCCCACCTGTCCGCAAAGCTGGAAAGGTTGGGGAACTCTGACTTAGAGAAAGTACTGACAAAGATTTGAGGAAAAAGTACATTATGCAATGGATTGTCAAGCACCAACAAAAGTGGTCTCCTTTAATAAAAATCACTTTCTTTGTATTAATAAGGTGTGGCACTTGTTTCCAGTTAATTTGTTTTTGAAATTTATGATGCCTACATTTAAAGATAAAGGTATATATGAATACCTAATTCTGAACCAAATTTAATAGGAATAAGAACAGACACGTGAGGAAATTGACCTGTTTTTCAGCCTTTCAAAATGATGCTTCAATGACTTTCTCACCTTTCCTTCCCTTTCTCAAAGAAAGGATCCCAACCAATCACGTGAGAAACAAGGTGATGTGGTCATGCTATGAAACCAATTAGACCTTGCCTGCAATCATATCACACTACGCATCAAAGACAAGGTAAGGGGAGGCAATCTCTCAAGATTATGTAATGGTCTTATCAGACATCTCAAAACAGTTAAATATTTCAAACAAGTTTCTCCCCCTATCCCAAGTCCTCTCTGCATGCAAAAAGAGGCATCCAAATTAATAATTTGATTACTTTTCAAAATTGACTTAGAAAGTGGGGATGATTTGGAGATTCATTTAAATCCATTTTGATTCAAATCTCTAAACTAAGTTTGTATGACCAAAGAAAATGCTATAAGCCTGGAACGTGTATTTTCTGTTCATCAAGTTTCCATTATTTCTTTTATACCATGGCTAGAATAAAAAAATAGAAATGGGGGCTCCTCCCTTTTGAATTCTATCTAATCAACCCCCCCCAAAAGAATTTCTCTCTTACTTTACATTTTAGAAACAAGTAAATGAATCCAGGTTCTCAAACCATGTTTACTATGAGACTTACTTCAGCAGTAACAACTAACTTAGAGGCCTTTTTGATGGGCTCATCTGATTCCCAATTAGTCTCGGTTACCCCACACATTTTGGGGGCCTCATCCTCTTTTTCTACATTTTCATATTTGTAGACTGCATGGGCTTCACTGTCAGGAAGCTTCAAGGGTTCAATAAGGTACATCTCCCCTTGAAGCTTGAAATGTCCTCTGTAAAACAATGTGGAAAAGGGTGATCAGAGATGGAGAAGCAATACAAGAGAATATGATTAGTTCAGAGATCACGTGCACTGATGATGTTACCTAGTTGGGTTATAAAACTCAGCTCTGAGACCCATTTTTAACTAAACAAGTCAACATTCTCTGTGTTTCTGAATCCCTTCTTAACACTCACTGATTTTTTAATTTTCTTTCCTCAGCACTCATATCCCTTTCTCATACTTCTCAAAGATACAGGTATGATCAGAAAGATATAAGAGATTGCACACACTCAATACAACCATGAAATATCTGTACAGTATTCATTTGGAGATACTTTTGCATGGAATACCTTTCTAGCAAGGTATGCAATCTGAAACCTATTTATCTTCTCTACCTGTAACATCACCTCCTGTATGTAAAGGAGACAAGGGCTTGGAAGCTCCTTTAGACAGATCAGATTTAGCTCACTAGTGTCTCAACTCACTGGCAGCAGCTCTTCTTGGTATTCAGCCAAAGTCTTTCTTAATTCTGCAGAAGTCTTGGATCACACCCAACTCATTTGCATGAAAAACTGACGTCCTTCATTTTAACTGTGACAACTCCAAGAGCAGTATATTATTCTTTAATAAAATAAATAAAAGATTAGAGAATATCTTACTTCAAACCATTGCATGCACTGATGCTTGCAGTTGAGTCAGCATCATTGTGGATGCGTCCATGATAATAGCAGTGATCCTGTAGGGAGACAAGAGGACTACACTGGTTAAAGCTGGTCTGCAGTGTGATTTGATGAGCAGAAGTACAGTTCCAATGTATTCCACAACATCAATGAAATATTAAGACAGCAGTTATTCAGCATATTTTGATTCAGGGGGACAGAAGACCTACTTAATATTTATTTGTTGCAAAATGAGCATAGGATAAATGCAAGTCTCCATAAATCAAGTCACACTGCAGGGGGAGTCCCACTGATGACACAAAACTAAGAACTTTTGGGCAGACAACCAACATACAAATAGAAAATGTTCTCTTGGAGGTCAACTCTAGTGCTGAACCACAGGATTTGCTGAAGAAACTTTCAGAGTTGATGGTTGTCCTACGTTCTGAAATCTTACCATAATGTATGAAAAATTCCACATTTAATAATGATACCAAATAATCATTATTTCCTTGAGCTCACACAAGGAAAGTTTCAGAATATACAGGGAGGTATAATTCCTAGCATTATTTGGAAGCAGGATCCATGTAGACAGTAAAATCAAGAGATGTTTGTTACACACTAAGTGGGAGCAATTTTTATGACCTTTGAAGATGCTAAGCCAGAAGTAGATAATTTTGGAGACAGTGGATGCATGTTTAGATCAATTTGGGGGAAGGAGCCAAAGACTTCATAAAGCACATTAGTGCTGTCTTTTTTTTTTGGGGGGGGGGCAGCTGGTAGGGCCATGTTCTGTACTCTTTTAATGTGAAAGATATTATATGGATTTCTGTATAGGAGCAAAGTGAATTGTTCTCACATTTGGTATTACAAATAAAAGACTTTGCATGTATTCCTGTAGTGTGGTTTAAAAATGAAAATATAGATCTTATAAACCTGATGTTCTCATAATAAATTTATTTTTGAAACTCACTCCCCAAATGATGGCTTTTAACCAGTAGGAAAGAACTGGATGATTGAAATACTGCCATAATAATTCAATGAGTAAAACAAACTGGGTTTAACAATCCATACATCCTTATAACAACATATCAATATAAGATATTTCATAGATATATAGCCCTTCTTTTTTGAGTAGCCTGGTCTCGATCTTGTATATTTGCAATATTGTGCACAAACATTTGCTTCAATTTACTACTACTACTACTACTACTACTACTACTACTACTACTACTACTACTACTACTACTAATAATAATAATAATAATAATAATAATAATAATAATAATAATAAAGTAAGACTCTTAAAAATAAGACCCTACCTCAACCGAGGGGTATGTTGTAATTTCTCTGCCATCAGGGGAATAATGAGTCTCGCTGTAATCTTTTGAAAAAAGTCCTCTGCAAAGAAGAGAATATCTGTCAGGAATTAAGTAGGACTGAGATAATTTTATAATAAGTTTACAACTACTGTATAGTGGAAATGTAAGCATCTTGTTTGGTATCAAAAGAATGGAGCAGGTATTTCAATCCCATGGCTATTTAAGAGGAGGGCTGTGCATACTAGATTCACCTGAGGATAGAGATTTACACCAAGGAAGCTGTGCAATTCTCTTCATCAAGGCTCAGAGGAGAATGATTGACCAGGAGAAGACATTTTCTATTGCGTCTTCTTTTTATTCTTCTGGTCTATGCAACAATCTGATGAATCTGCTTGGTCTATAAAGGAGAGCAGTATAGCTCTATTTACTAAAGAGTAAAATGAAACAACCTTAAGGAAATGGATGCCTTGAACTTTCACATAGAAGCATCTCTCTTGAAGCTTTAAACCAATGTATGGAGTCACTTTCCATTCCTGGGGTCTCATCTATTCACTTGGCATTGCCTTCTATTTTGCCAATCTAGATATTCCTTGCTAGTCTTCCCTCTCTAGTCCTGCTTTGTTTCCATGCCAAAACAAGACCATCCAGATGCTAACTTGAAATTCCGTGCATCCTTCATATTTAAACAAAGGAAAGGGGACACTAGAACTTCTAAAGCACACATTAGAATTCAGCATGAAATGTCTCCAGTGGTATAGGATAAATTGACACACAGATAACCACATATAGGGCAATTTCTTTGTAGCTTATACCTCACTGGAGGTTTTCAAGGAATGATTGGACAGCTATGGAATGGTATAGTTTCCTGCTTGATCAGAGGGGTGGACTAGAAGACCTCCAAGGTCCCTTCCAACTATGTTTGTCTTTTGTGCTGAAAAATAGTTTCATTCCATTTCTGTGGCTTATATTTGCATAATATTTTTATATTATAAAAATATAATAATATTAAAATATTATTATAATATAATATTATAAAATATTATATTATATTATTTTCATATCTTGATTTACATGTCAAATGGGACACCATTGAGAAGACCCACATGGCATTCTTTAAAAAAATATAGGGAAATCTGGGCTTGTTTAGGTCATGTCTCCTTTCGGTCCTTAATAGGAGATGACATTTCCTGCCTTCCCTGCTTTAACATATAAATTCTGATGTAAGTTGAGCAGCTATGTAGGTCTCATAGGAAACATTATTCATATTGATGGAGTATTTGTGAAGCAGCATAAGCAATCATTTTTAAATCTTTGCAATATTTCATAACTAACCTAGTTAATTCAAGTGATAGAAGGTTATGAGCCTTGAATAGTTCAATTTTGTCTAAAATTGTTATGGTCCAGCAGTGTACCACAGGAGAGCAGGAATAAAAAAATCTCAGTTCTGAGGTAAGATATAATTAACATACTCAATATCTATATCCACTTTTCCTACACAGTAACATTTAATTTAGTTTTAATTTCCAAACAAAGGAATGCAATTATTATTTCTCTTAGATTGTGTCCAGGAATATACATTTTCCACATTGTCCAAATGAAGTTAAGAAAAATAGTCTGAGTTAACATACTTATTTTTTTCCAGGTGAAGGACCACTGGCTCTCCATTCACTTTAAATTCATATTGCATGGTGTCTTCATACTGAAATGCAAAGAGTTCAGGATTTACTTCTTAAAAAATAGGCAAATAAAATGTGTACCCTATTAACAACTCTACACCTGTATCAATTTAAATCTAATGAATAATTTGCCATAGCCAAATTATTCATTAGATTTAGAGTATTTCATCCAGTCATGTGAACTGAAAGATCTTAAATTAACTTTTCTGCATAAGTTCAAGATCTCATTCTCTAATTAAATATCTTGGTGAATGAGGTTATGCTGGGACAGAGAGACTGACTCAAATGTCATCCAGTGATAGACATGAATCTGGGTCTTAGACCTAATCTTGAGTTGTAACCACCAAACTATCTTCCCCTAGAAACACATATTTTACATTTCTAAGTGATGCATGTAGACATGCAGAGTTTACATTAAATACTTTACTGTATTCTGCCTATAATACAGGAATCTCCCTAGACTGCTTCCCTTCTCTTCAGAACAGATAGATAAGCTTTAATGGAATTTCTTGGGGGGGGGGGAAGGATGTCAGTCCTGGATCTGTTGCAGCTATGAAATGATTCAAGGCTAATTCTCTACTTGATCCCTCCTCACTGTATGGCTGGGTGTCTCCCAACATTTTATTACTTATATTAACCTATACATATTAGGAAATTCTGTTTGTAAATTGCAATTACTATGGGCTGACAAGAAATAAGTTGTTGATGAAACAAAGATCATTCTCTTACCTTTGGCTGAACTGCTCCTTTGGGCAATGCAGTGACTTTTCGTGGATACACTACTTCATAATCATTAACGTTCCCAGATCCCAGGATTATAGAGCTCCCTTCATAAGGAAAAAGAAAAGAAAGGTTTGGTTTACTTTGGGATGTTATTCTACCATTTTCACATCCACAACGCAATTTGTTATTCAGTTCTCAGTGAAGAATGGAATCTTTTTCTAGTGGGACACAGCACAGAAATCCAGATTTTCTCTGGGAATGCGATTTGCTGAATCATGTTTGGGAGCTGGAAGTCTAAGTGGAGACATTTCTTTAGGCAGGTGCAAAAGAAACATTTTGGAGCTTGAATAATCAGAAAAATAAATAAATATATCTCAACCAATCTTGAGGCAACTATAAAAGTAGCACCAAGCCACATCTTATACTGAAATTAACCTTTCTGTTCAAGGAGAAGATAAATGATAAACCAGTATTATAATGTATGCATGCTTCAGCAAATGTATACCTACTTTTAATGCTTTTCTTATCTCAGTTTGATGCTGAGTCTGATCTAAAATTTCTAAATTCTTCTCTCATAATAGAAAAAAGGATCGAGGTCATTCCTCATAGCTGCTACTCAGCTGAACAACCTCACTCTCCTCCATTAATTTGTCTCTCTGTAGCTCTATATTTTACTTAAGATCTTCTTGTGGCTTGACAAAATTTAAGAAAATACCAACAAACCATTTATGTAGCTATAGAACAAATGTGATCCTTGAGAGCATTCTTTTGCTAAATCTGTAGAAACTGAAGTGGAGCAAATTTTGGTTAATTGTCAGAAATAAAACCCAAAACCAAACACATCAACATAGCAATCTGTTGAGTGCAATAGTCTTTTAGCAGTAAGAATCTGAACAAGGGAACCAAAGAGAACATCTTACCTTGATAAGGAAAAACTGCTAAGCATACAGTTACCAAGAGAACCTGGATCATTTTGGAGGCTGGATTTGGCTGGAAGACAGGCAATCTCTTCCTGCTTTCAAGCCAACCTGAGCTCTTCCTCTGTTGACTATGAGAAGCAAGGAATGAGTCCTTCAGCTTCATTCATGCCCTCATATGAGAAGGTGTTTGCTAAAGGATTTGCACAAATTCTGAGTTGTAACAATACTACTGGAGGGCAGTTTTCCAGCTGGCTTAGCGCATGTCACTCCAAAAATGACAGCTGGGAGGGTTCATTCAAGGCATCCCCAAAGAAAAAGCCCAAAGGAGGCTATTAATTGGTCACAGCAGACCTTTCCCTGGCTCACCTGTTAATACAACTGAATTTGGGGCCTCTGGTGCATGGGGTCTTAAATGCCAAGAGTTGGTTTTTACAGTATTTTGTGAGTAAGAGGCACTTTTGGAGCAATCTAGCATCCCTTCTATATTGCTAACATTGCCTGAATCCATGTAAATGCATTTGCCTAAGGGATCCCTGATTTCACTACAGGGGGAAAAAAACCCTCTGTGAGTTACCCAATCAGAAATTATTTATTTCTTCCTTGTTTTCTAAGATATCATTCTTTCTTCCTCTTCATATAAAAGACAAAGGATAGTCCATTCTTGCCACAATTATGAACAGTTGTTGCAGTGGTGTTGGTGTTTTGCAACGAATGTTTGATACTTGGCTAAAGATTTGCAAAGATTTTTATTCTATAGTCTAATTTGATAGCTTTTGTAAACTTATTGCATTAAATATTAATTTGAGGTGAAAATTGGGGTATAAATGAAATAAGTAAATGAGTATATCATGGCTAAATTCCATCATTATAAATTTTGTATTAACAAGAAGCCTGCATTAAAATTTGTATGCATGCACATGCACATCTAATACATTTATTTTCCAATATACTTTTCCTAGTTCAAAGAATTATATTAAGACATTTTGTACTACTGTTGCTCTAACTTTTTTGTGCTTTTTTAAGAGGCCTTTCCATGTGCACTTTATGAGTTGTAAATTACAGGGCAGCCTTCTGAAAGTGGAGGATTTCATCAGAGGTGACCATTCCAATTTATTGAAAACCTTACCTATTTAGACATCTCTCTCCAGGTGTTTTTTTTTTAACCATAAACAGGATGAAGAATTTAGAGAGATTAATTAGAAGCCGAGTCAACCAATGAAATTCAGTCCTGGAAATAAATCTCTTGTTTGTTTGTTTTCATTGTTACAGAACATATAATCCAGCTTTGGAACTGGCTACCACGAGAGGTGGCGCTGGCTACCAGCTTAGCTGGTTTCATTGAATATAGAATCATAGGGCTGGAAGGGACCTCAGAGATCTTGTAGTCCAACCCCATGCTCTTACTGTCAGAAAATTTCTCCTTACTTTTAGGTTGGATCTCTCTTTAATAAGTCAATCCCCTCTTCACTAGGTTAGTCCCACAAGTACTGGAAGACCATTATCATGTCCTCCTTAATCCTTCTTTTTGATAGGCCGTACATACCTAACTCCTTCAACCTTTTTTCTTTTGCAAAGAGTGATACTTAGAAGGCATGTAAAAAAATACCGTGTTGAGACCTATTTCTTCAAAACCTATTTCTTTTGAAATGAACTTATTGGTGTTTGGCTCTTCTTCATGTTACTTTCTCAAGAGTATTTATTTCTGAACATTGTGGCTGTTTACCACCCATGCTCCCTCCTTGTTTTAAAAGAGTAGAAAATTGTCATTTACTGCAGTGGATCAAAAGATAATTGACAGAAGAAGAGAACATATTTTAGCTCTTTTGTCTCATGAATAGTTTTGTCCATGTAATTTACTTGGCACTGTCCACTTTTATGTTTACAAAATTTTCATTATGACTTGTGATGGCATTTCATTGCCTTTTGGAGATGGTCCTAATCCTTGAAAGACAAATACAAAACATTTATCAGGGTAAATCTCATCCATGCCAAGAACCTGTAATAATAAACACACATGCTGACATTTAGCTTTCTCATGGCAGGGATTAGGAAATAATAGGAAAATATATATACCCTAATCACTTCTGCCAAGGAACTGTTTAACACAGTGAAAAAGTTAAAGCCCTTATTTAGATTTTACTGCTGGCCTTTTCCCTGGCATTTGATAGCATTTTACAATCTTATCTAATGGCTCAGCTCCTGTTCAAAAAATAAAAATAATAACTTCCCTGAATCACTCAGCTTTTCTTAAGATTTTAGCATTTCACAAGTTAGTATTTTTCTGGATCCTTCTGCCAAGAAATTTCAGCTAGTGGGATCCAGAAGAAGATACTTTTCTGTCATGGTTCCTGCCCATTAGAACAGGGCAGGTATTGTCCAGCAGTGTACCATTGGAGAACAGAAATAAAAAAATCTCAGTTCTGAGGTAAGATATAATTAACATACTCAATATCTATATCCACTTTTCCTACACAGTAACATTTAATTTAGTTTTAATTTCCAAACAAAAGAATGCAATTATTATTTCTCTTAGATTGTGTCCAGGAATATACATTTTCCACATTGACCAAGTAAAGTTAAGAAAAAGTCTGAATTAATGTACTTATTTTTTTCCAGGTGAAGGACCACTGGCTCTCCATTCACCTTAAATTCATATTACATGGCGTCTTCATACTGAAATGCAAAGTGTTCAGGCTTTACTTCTTAAAAAAATAGGCAAATAAAATGTGTACCCTGTTAACAACTTGACACCTGTATCAATTTAAATCTAATGAATAATTTGCCATAGCCAAATTATTTATTAGATTTAGAGTGTTTCATCTGGTGCTTTGAACTGTAAGATCTTAAATTAACTTTCCTGCATAAGTTCAAGATCTCATTCTCTAATTGAACATCTTGGTGAATGAGGTTATGCTGGGACAGAGAGACGGACTCAAAAGTCATCTAGTGATGGACTTGAATCTGGTTCTTAGTCCTAATCTTGAGCTGTAACCACTATACCATCTTCACCTAGAAACACAATTTTTATATTTCAAAGTGATGCATTCTGGGAAGCTAGAAAGGATAATTTGAAATCTCAGGGTTCACAGTTGTCATAGCTTTTATGAAGGATGATCCAAGAGCATAAAACAGAAGAAGAAATCCCTCAAAGTTACCTATTAACAGTAAATTTATGTTAGGCACAGGTAACCAGATCCACACATGTAGACTTTAAATTAAGTACTTTATTGTATTCTGCCTATAATACAGGAATCTCCTTAGACTGCTTCCCTTCTCTTCAGAACAAATAGATAAAATTTAATAGAATTCCCTGGGGGTGGGGACGATGGCAGTCCTGGATCTGTTGCAGCTATGAAATGACTCATGGCTAATTCCCTACTTGATCCCTCCTCACTGTACGGCTGGAGGTCTCCCAACACTTTATTAGTTTTAGTAACCTATTAATATTAGGAAATTCTGTTTTAAGTTACGAAGAGTCTCCTCAATTTTGTGTGAATTGGGCAGCCATATAAATTTGATTAATTAATACATAAATAATTCAAGCAGGAACATTAGATTGCAATGCGAAATCCAGATAACTGTTAGATGGCAGCAAAGGAATATCAAAATTTCTGTGGGCTGGCAAGAAATCATTTGTTGATGAAACAAAGATCTTTCTCTTACATTTGGCTGAACTGCTCCTTTGGGCAATGAAGTGACTTTTTGTGGATACACTACTTCATAATCATTAACGTTCCCAGATTCCAGAATTATAGAGCTCCCTTCGTAAGGAAAAAGAAAAGAAAGGTTTGGTTTACTTTGGGATGTTATTCTACCATTCTCACATCCACAACACAATTTGTTATTCAGTTATCAGTGAAGAATGGAATCTTTTTCTAGTGGGACACAGCACAGAAATCCAGATTTTCTCTGGGAAGGCAATTTGCTGAATCATGTTTGGGAGCTGAAAGTCTAAGTCTAACTAGGATTTGGCCCTGGAAATGTGTCTTCTTAGACTGATGGGCAGCCCCAGACAGAAGAATACATCTTCCTCATACCTATTTATGTACCTACCCATTTGTACCTGATGCTCCCAGAATCTCAATGATCTGTTTGTTCTTTTCAGTTACAGTAGGAGGTGAACCTCTTGAGGTCCTCGTATTAGAGGTAGCAATCATAAATTCTTCTCTGCTTTGAGTGCAACAAATGCTCTTGGTTATGTGTGCTTGACAGGCCTCTTTAATTGTGACTGACAGCTTTTAGTGCTCCTGGAGCCATGCAATACATCCTTAATTGCAACTTTATGGGTTTCTTGGCCAGCCATCACCATGATGGGCCATGAACAGGCACTGGCAGCTGATCTCAAACAGTGGGCCATTGATTTAGAGCTGTAAGCAGAATCTCCAGCTCCACTCATGGAGAATGGGTGGGCACCCATATACATTTTCTAAATAAATAAATAAATAAATAAATAAATAAATAAATAAATAAATAAATAAATAAATAAATAAATAAATAAATAAATAAATAAATAAATAAATAAATAAATAAATAAATGAATGAATGAATGAATGAATGAATGAATGAATGAACGAACGAACGAACGAACGAACGAACAAACAAACAAACAAACAAACAAACAAACAAACAAACAAACAAACAAACAAACAAACAAACAAACAAATAAATTCTCAGAAATCCCTTCTTGAGCTACTCTGCACATCTTCTCCAACCAGTCAGATGTCTCAGTCACACAAGTATCCCAAAATTCAGAAGGACCTTATCCCTAGCACAATTCAATGCCCTCCCAACTGCAATTCCTGAAGGAGGATACCCAAAAAATCCCCTTCTGTCCATGTGGTAGAGGAATTATTGAACTGATGGAACATGTTATTCTCTATTGTCTTCTCTATGCAGGTGCTTGCTAAGAATTATCTCTATTCTTTACTAAATAATCTGGTCATTTTGATTTGGTTTATTTCAAGATGTTATTATAATTATTGGATCAATTTTATTTTCTATCGTTGACCATAGCCAAGTATTGTCTTCCAATTTGTACAGAATGCCACATTTACTCTAATCGTTTTTAGATATTTTATAACAATTATATTTTCCCATTTTATCCTATTTAACTTTGATTTGTGTATTGTATTTGCTGGTCTCTTATTATCTATTGTTATAATCTAGGAGTTATTAGGAACTAAA